ATGATCAGCTTAACACAAAAACCAATAAAAGCAACTGACTATGAGGTCACTTTAATATTAAAAAAAAAAAAAATAATAATAATAATAAAATAATTAATTTTGTGTAATATCATATATATTATAGTTATTGCCCACTTTGTAAATAATAACTAATTTATTTTTAGATTTTTATTATACTTCTGTACTATTTTTTAATTAAAGTGATATAATTTATATAGTTTAAAATTTTATATAAAAAGAATTTGATCTAAAAAATTAATTTTTATATCAAATTTTATTTTGCTTATAACTTAATTAAAACAAATACTATATCAAATATATTAAATGAACTTAAAAGTATTGATAGAACTGAAGATAATATTCAATAATATTTAAAAAATCTAAAGTCAAAAATACTGATACTTATATACAAAAATGAGTTCAAGCATACAAAACTATTGTAAATAAAATATTTTTTACAATATTCCAATTATAACTAATCAAAAGCAACTTAAATGTAAACTATATGAATTCTTTACTAATATTATATAATATAATAGAAAACTTTATAAAGTCAAATCAGTTATATTAGCTTATATCTCACTTAAATATTTTTTTATTTAAAACTTCTGTAATTCAGAATATTAATATTAATGATCAATACCAATTTTCAATATTATATAAAGTTGTAAATAGAAAATATATAAAGTTACAAGATTAAAAACTTGGTAAAATTAATTAATCAAAAGGATTAACCTAAGAAGAAATATATCAAATTTTATTATATTTTAATACTAGCAATAATACAGCATTATGACTTATCTAAAAAGTATTTTTCTGAAATATATACTTATTAAGATTGAATAATAGCAATTATTATTAGCTTTTATTAAGCTGCTTTAATTTTAATTAGATTAAAGTTTAATTTTTATAATTAGTTGTGAGAAGAATAATTAATATAAACTTAAAAGTTAAAATAAATATAGAAAATTCTTTAGTCATTATATATATATTTTACTAAACTTGCTTAATAATAAATTTAAGCCTATTTAAAACTTTCATAATTATATAAATTTATATTTACCAGATATATGTAACAAGTTCTATTTACAGTTAACAAGAAATTTACAAGCAATTAAAATAAAATCTAGTTTTTTAAAATTAGACTTGGTTGATACATATTAGCAAATATAATAAACAATATTGTACAAGCTTCAAATATTAATATTAATAACTAGAATTACTAACTATTTCAAAAAAAAGAACTACAATTTAGCTTTTATTTAATCTTAATATAAATAAATATAAAATAATATAATTTTTAGATTACTATTTAGTTAATAAACTATAGTTCTTAATAGTAAGCAATAGCTTAAAATACTACTTTACTAATTAATACAATTTAAAATTCTCAAGTTCAAATTTTAATTCTTAAGTTCAAACTTTAGAATCTCAAATTGAGACTTCAGAATATCAAGTTCAAACTCCAGAATCTCTAGTTAAAACTTTAAAGTTTCTGAAATTTCAAGTTTTGACTAATAAAGAATTTCTGATCCAAAAAATATTTCAAGAATTTATCCAAGAAATGTCTCAAGCCTTGATTAAAAAATTTCAAACTTTAACATAACAGAAAGATATTTAATTTAAAAAAAGGGTTTCAAAACTAATCAAAGAAGAAATTCAATTAATTGGTAATTTGCCACTTAACCAGAGAGAGCTCATAGTGTAATGTGATATAATTTATATATTGAAATTAAAATTTTTAAAATATGAGCTGCTTTTATCTAAAACTTTTTTATACTAAGTTAATTGTCTTTGGACCTCTAATTGAAGTTGTAGAGCTCATCAAGATAAATCTAATAATAGTTAAATCATCAAAATTAGCCTAGTAGATCACAAAATATCTTTGAAAAATATTTTACTAACTATGTAAACTTCTCTTTCAATAATAGTATTGTTGAAAGAGAAGTTTACATAGTTAGTAAAAAAATTTTTAAAGATATCTCATGATTCACCGGGCCAATTTTGATGATTTAACTACTATTAAATTCATTTCAATGAGCTTTACAACTTCAATTAGAGGCTCAAAGGCGATTAACTTAGTATGAAAAGGTTTTAGATAGAAACAGCTTACATTTCAAAACCCTAAGCTCTCTCTGGTTGAGTGAAAAATCACCAATTAAAATTAACTAGACCTTTTCATTAATCCTTAAAAAAACTTCAAGATCAAACACAAAACATTATAATAACTAAAGATAGAATTATAAATATTTTCAAATTTTATAACACTAAAAATATTAAAATTATATTTAAATAATAATTATATTAAATATACTGTATAGAATTGTATTGAACGCATTGTATAATATAGCTTTTATAAATTAAAAGTCATTGAAATTATTGCTAAAAAAAGTATCTGTCACTAGACTTGTTAATCCATCATGTTAAAGTTATTACTGATATCACACATCATCATCTTTAATAAGATATCACCAAATCATCATCACCGTCCTTAAGATCATCATCTTTAACAGCATCACCCGTCATTGCATTACTCCATCATCATCACCTATTGATATCGTAGTATTCGTTTCGTAGCGTCATATTGTTCAATTATACCTCTAACAGTTATGAAAGACCCAATTCGCTTCCCAAATTCATCATTATTCTCCCGTATATCGTTGGAGTTAAATTGGCATATTGTTTATATTGTTTTATTAGCTCTCCCAATCAACGGTTACACTAGGTAACAGTATTACGGTTTTATAATACGGTGTAACTACATAGAAAATCGATAAACATAGTGACATTAAACCATAATTCTTTAAAATAACATGTATTAGTTTAAAATTTATACCGATACCAATTGGAATATAACATGTGTCAAATTTAACTAATAATCAGTCCACGCGGGAGGCCATGGATTTAACTTTGTACCCGGTTTTTCACGTATAACTAAATTCGGGAAGACCGATCGTACTATATTTGTCGCATCCATTGAATGAGGCAGATTTGGGCGATGTGTGATGAATATGAGCAATCGGATGAAATGGTCTTTTCAGGATTATGGATCGTATTAGAACAATAAACTATATTAGTTCTATTAATCTTATAGCTCGTTTAGCATAAATATTTTATCTATAAAAATATGATGTCTTTGATATTCAATAAAGAATCGGATTAATCGTATCATAAAATAGTCGTTTTCTAGAGAATCACTGTTGAAATCTGTAAACCCAACTTAAAACTATTAATAAAATACCACCAAAAGCACCATCTGGTTGATTTAACATACTAAGTTAGTCATGATTATAGCATTGCATCGAAGAATACATTTCTGATAGTTCTGAAGCGGTGTAGATTGTTAAAGATTAGATTGGTACGATCTGATAATTCATTACTATCCCGAAACATTGTCACATCACTTGCAAATTTAAACGTCTCTTTGCAAGTGAATAAGTCAAACTCCAGTTGTAACTCTTCTGGAGGTTTACGATAAGCACGTGAGCAAGATTTATCTAATGAACGAGGATCGAGGCATGCAAACCTCTGGGACGAAGATGCCTTTTTATTAATAGATAGTT